AGTGGTTACATACTTTCGCATTGTTGCCCAGTAAATTGTGGCTTGCAGAGACAGCTGGAAGAGTCATCGTCGTAGTGCGCAATACAGGAAGCTCCGTTCTGACATGACTCCGTCAAGCAAGAAGTCTGAAAATAAAAGTTGGCGACTTTTAAAACCACAAAAATATATTATAATAACAAACTTGGCGTGAGAGGGGAAACGTCAGGAAAATTTTTCTAAATGGTCAGTATTGAGTCTTATAAATATTTTCTTGTCAACTCAGTGGAAAGCTGGAGAATTAAATTTAAATACATTTGAAGTTTCCTCGAGATTGAAGCAGAAACAGTGTTCACAGTTGGATACCCCGCTAATGGAAATGACAATTGTAAGCGAAAAGGATCTTGCCAAGGTTACCGTGTGACGAGTAGTGCTCGGTCCGCCTAAATTATTGTCCGTTAGGAAGAGCTTCGATTGTATTCAGCTAAGGCGGGAGTTTCTACAGGGTTTTTCTTAGAATGTTGTTAGTTGCTTGATTTTGATACCATTTAAGTTATCTAGAAATCTAGCACCTGTAACCCCTTTATCGCGTTTCAAATCTATCGAAAAGCATAACAGAATCTAAAATAAAGAAAAGAATATTTAGGTTGAGGCCTGCAAGGGAAGTTGAAGAAGTGTTCACTACTTACTTACATTTGTTTCAGTTACACAATAATCGGGCAAAAATGTTTTTTGCAAGGGAGCCACAGCATCGAATTCTTCGAACTTTTAGAAAAAGAGCGACTGCGAAATGGGTTTTTCTGTTATCAGTAAGGTACAGGCAGTAATCTAGTTCGAACACAACAACATACGAGTCAAAGGAAAATTATATGCAGGATACGGTGCACGGGCTGTAAGAAGCTAAACACGCGTCTGTACTGGAATACTGTCTTTTAAAAATACTCACCCATCTCGACAAATGGTGCGATGTGGCATTTTCGTGTAAGGACCGAGAGCTGGTAAACATGTCCGTAAATAACAACTCGCACCAAACTGAGCCATCATCAGGTACAGAGCTCACATTCAGAGATAAACATGTGTTGAATGTTAAGCATTCCCAAATGCAGTCATCGGAAGTAATAGCCTTAGTTACCGTCTTATTCTCTACAACAAGATAGCGAAACTTGTGCTGTACAAAGTTATCATAGCTAACGAGTGCGCCATCTAACGATGTGGTGCCAGTGGCGCTCAAAGGAATTTCTTTAGTGTCACTTCGATAGGTTATATAGAAGAATAAACAAAATTTCTGAAGGAAATTTGGAAAAACTGGCATCTTGGACTTATCAAACTCGGAGTCTGCTGATATATCCAAATGACAATTCGAAGTAAAAGACTCCCGATTACCATATATTTTTCTTTTAAAAAAGTCAATTAGAGTAATGCATTATTAATTTAATTACTAAATAAGGGGGTCTACCTCAATTAGTGTGTAAGGTTTGTAAGTAGTGTAATATAACTGGGGTGGATTTATTTGTAACATACGCCTATAGCCGTTGCATTTGCCCGCTGGAATCCTTTATTGTTTTTAGGCCTTAAATAATCTAATTGAGCCTTGTAAATTAATCATTACGCGAAAGGCAAGAAAATAAAATAATGGATTTACGCATGCTGAAATTAAAGATAATTTGGGTGATTGCTTGGTGCGTTTGCTGCCGGGTGGTGTATCACCAAATGACGTAAAACATAATTTAAAAGTAATGAAAAGAACCACAAGAAATATAATTTAGTACCACCATTATAACACAATAGCTAACCAGCAATGGTTTCCACCGCACCAAGAAACGCCCTCAGTATCAGGCAATTTCCGAGTTACCCAAGCCTCTGTTTCAAATCGAGGTTAAGTGCGAACCATTTGTGTGAAAATGATTTTCTTATTCTCACGCAGTAAAACTCATTTTCAGATCAGAAGAAAGGTTTTGCACGTTGTCTTGTTTTGAAAGTGATATTTTTTGGAACTTGAAAATAAACAACAAGCTAATAACATAAAAATAAAATAAGATACAGTATACTTCAAATTTCTTTGGAGAGGGAATTTCTCCAAAACTGTTCATTATTTTGGACTCAAATTTTCAGACATAACTGTAAGATTCAGACGCCTCTACCATTATTCAGAGATTTTGTCTGAATAGCTTGATCATAGAATGAAAACTGTATGTGAAAGCGGCAAGAAATGTAAGCAAAGATTCGCCCACAGCTTCCTTCGCATCCCTGCCCACACAAAGAAAGATTGCGTAGGAGAATACCGTACCGTGCTGCTTTCTTTAAAGTTATATTGGCTATGTAGATAATCAGTTATATCCAGAATCGATCTTGTTAGCAAATTGTTTTCGCAATTTTAGCAAAAAAGATTGAAAGAAAACTGCTATCAGAAAAGTATAGAAGAAATAGCAAATGTCGCAAATTGCGATACAGTTGTGATATTCGGTCACGGGTGTTTTTAGCTCGCAAGAAAAATCCTCGTTACTTTTGCGATATTTGCGATATTTGCGGACATTTCGGGGCCCTTCTTGGCTTCTTCTCTTTCTAAGTCTTGATTCTTGTTAGATTTGTTATTTCTGCGATATTTGTGATATTTGTCATGGGTGTTTTTAGCTAGTAGCATGAAAAATCCTTGTTACTTTTGCGATTTTGCGATATTTGCGGCCGACATTTCGGAGTCCTTCTTGGCTTCTTTTTTTTCTAAGTCTTGATTCTTGTTAGATTTGTTATTTTTGCAATTTTTGCAATTTTTGCAATATTTGTAAGTGATTTTCTGACATAATTTTTTCTCAATTATTTCTTTTGCGACAATTACGAAAAAAAATTGCCAGCAAATTTTTGCTAACAAGATCGATCCTGGACATATCTCTAGATAATTGCGATGTGCCTTCCCGGCCAGCACTGACTCCGTCTTGAAATGACCAAATTTTAAGTTTGCTTGAGGACGGGTACCGCAGCGAGGCAATAAAGAGTCGGTTTTAGCTTCACGTTTGCGGCAAACGGTAAATTCAAGTTGAGAATTTCTCAAAATAGAAAATGAGCGGATAAAAACGGTTCAAAACAATTCCCATAGATACAAAAAAAAATGCGTTAAACTTCTAATTTATGTGTAGGAACTATGAACAGTAAACGACAAGTAAAGGGGAAACTTGGTCACGTGGTATAAATTCCCGTTTGCCGTTTGCCGTAAATGTGAAGCTAACCTCTCTACTAAATTATGAAGTCTCAACTCAAAAGTGGTTTCCTTTTTTCAACTAGTAACTGGCGACCTGGTGTTATCGCGAAAAAGGTTTATAGGATGTGAAGTCTATTTTTTGCCACGTTTTTATTAGTCACCGTTGTCGGATCTAAGATCCTTACTGAATGAGCTTGAATGGCAGGACGCAGTGTCGGATGCAGACCTTGAGATAGGCGGGGGCGCTTATTTAGACCCTTAGATACGGGGGGGGGGCGGTCTCCTCACTGGGACAATACCTACAAAAACGAAATTGTTGAGGTTAAAGTTACAGCATAATGGCGGTGACTTGTGGTGTTTTTATACTTTGAATACCATGTTCACTGAAACTTAAAAGATACGATTTTATATGAGAAAGTTCAATCTTTATTCAACCTTTATTCAAAAATTTATAGTCCTGCAACGGGGTTACCATCACGCAAGACGCCTAAATAAAATGAATAAAATTAAAAGTAATGACGTTAAAAAAAAAATTTCTATACGAGATAAAATGGATAAAAAATAATAATAATAATAATTAAAATAATTAATTTCACAGCATCAATCATTATGCAATATTAAAATTCATCATTGACTAAAATACTCAAATAAGACTTTTTTGAAACGATCTGCGGACTTGATGTTAACAATTTCGCTTGGCAACGCATTCCAGTCCTTGACAGTTCTACAAAAATAACTATTCTTATAAGTCTCAGTATTTGGCAGCAGTTCAATAAACTTGTTTTGGCTAGAGTTCCTTAAATGTCTTCTGCGCTTCGTAACATAGTCTGGGAAGGCCAGGCCGCCATCACCATGAATTGCTTTGTGGAACAAGGTTAACCGCGAGATTGTTCTTCGTTCCTTCAGGGGTATCCAGTTTAATTCGTTCAAGAGGTTTGTAACTGTTCCTGGTTCCCGCGTGTAACAGTTTTTAACGAAGCGTGCGGCTCTTCTTTGTACTCCCTCTATTTGTTTGACGTGTTTTTTTAAGTGTGGGTCCCAAACTGAGCTTGCGTATTCGACGTGAGGCCTCACAATGGCTTTGTAGGCTACCTCTTTCACTCCCTCGGGACAACTGCTCAGGTTTCGCCGAAGAAATCCGAGTGATAGATTAGCCTTCATGACTTTGTTATTTACATTCTGGCCCCAATCGAGGTTTCTGGACAATTCTACGCCTAGATAGGGGTGGTGGGTGACCGAATCTAAAACTTTTCCCATAAGGACATAGTTAGACTCAACAGAGTCAACGGAGGGTAACTCCGGTAAAAAAATAACGGAAAGGAACATCATTTCACTTAGAGCCTGTTTACATAAAGATGGGGGACCCCAGGTAGGTGGGGTAACATGTGACGGGTTACCCCACCTAACATATAAACGTGATCACATTAAAATGTGAGATTATATGGACAGGCCGGTTACCCCACCTAAGCGGGTTACCTCACCTATCTGGGTACCCCACCTCCATGTAAACAGGCCCTTAGGAATGCAAACTGAAGATTTTGGTCTTACTTTACCAATACCATTCTGCGGGTGAAACAAGAGTCAAAAAAGCGTCTGCTCCTCGCAGGCTATACCAATACAGGTAGCGCGTAGGATAATGTAAAGAGATAACAACTATACAAACAATGAAAAAAGCCGTCATACTGTTATTCTTGTCCGTTTCATTATGGTTTCTGGGGTCAAATAAAGCTTGAACCACATTCTGACCAGGCATTCTCATCCCTTTGATATGGGAGAGCCTGAGTTCTAGAAAAAAAAACTTGGAGAAAGATCGAAACCTGGGTACTAGTGTCTAGTTACAAAAATCCAACATGGCGTCCTGCCACATCAAGAACAATCTCGCCGCTTTGAGGCAGCTTCCTCGAGTTGCGTTGAACAACATCAGGGATTTACCGGATGCTTTTATTACGGTAGGTGCTTGTCTTATTCTTGTTTGTTTAATATTCGAAATGGTAGGCCAGAATTGAATAAACGTACCGCTAAATTGAAGCGCTATAATATGATTCATGGGCACCTTGCTATTGCCATATAACTTAATTTATAATTATGGTATGTTTAGATTGCCTGTTTTATTCTATGAACGATAGTGTGGAGACAGACATAGAAGACACTTTTAAAAAAGGTCTTATTTCTTCAGAAGAGAGCTCTACGATTCATGTATTTTGCAAACAGAAACTAAGTGATCGTGCCATACTACCAATATTACTAATAACCCGGCGTATCCAATCGATGCAAATCGATGATCGGAAAACCAATCGATCAATCGATAAAATTAGTTAATGGGTATCGATTGGTATTGGTCAATCAATGATCAATTGATGACCACACGAAAACAGTTCATCAATTGCTATCGATTGGCACAGCAACCTTGAACAGGCGTCACTCACGCTACCTGCCCGATCATCTGCCATTTTTAGGAAGCCCTGGGGATGAAATTGGTAAAACAATTCCGACCCAGTCTACTCAACACAAAGAATATACCTTGTTGCACAAAAGAGGTGTAAGAGTTGCCTCAAGCAACCCTAACCTCGTGAGTGTTCTCCAAACTTCTTAGAGTGCTTTATATCTTGACATACGCACACGAATCATGAATTACAATATGTAAATTGGCTGCCACCGAGGACTATCATGTCTTCTAACCGGTCCTTATAGCATAAAATTAAATTTCAGTGCTGTCCAATTAACCTTATAAAATAAAGGTGGCAGGGACCGCGGAGGGGGAGGGGCTGGTAGGCCCGCGGCCCCACCACTTTTTTGCGCCCCCTCCCCCACTTTTTGCGCTAAAAAGAAAATTAATTAAAATAAAAAAAAGACTAGAAACAAGTTTTTTTCCGTCTATATTCCGCTATATTCTCTGTATTTTCTTTAATATCAAACGCCAGGCATTTTGTGGGGCTCCTGTGCTTTTCGCCGTAATTGTGCCCTGGGGCCGACTTACCCCTTGATCAAACGCCATGCCTTGGCCACCCCTTCGCTTCGTTTGGCAGCGTGTTTTGTACTTCCAGCTCCGGCAGAGTTTTTTTTATCAGTTTTATCAAGACGAAATGAAGAAAATTACTAGCTTTTTCAAGCCAAACAAAGGTGAGTAGGTGTTTTGAGTTAAAAAAAAGTTTTATATTTTGTCTTTCTGAAATATTCGATGGCAAGAAGAATTACATTACTTGAACAGCGAACGGCCATAGTTAGAAATTTTTCAGATCACTTCAGTGCAGTATTTGTATACTAAAATTGTAATCGCGTCTTTTCTCACATTGAATCTGAACTGACCGTGGATGTTGGTTGTTTATTGGAGTTATCTGGGACTTCGTCAAAGTCTGTAAGCTCTGCAGAAAAGTATGCAAAGTCACGCGACAGAAACAAATCAAATACTAGGATTTTATTCCTTTTTTCGATTTTCAATATGAAAAAATTATTTTCAATTGTCAGCCCTCCCACTTTTCACCTTGCTCCGCGGTTTCTGGGTGGAGTAGGTGGGCGACTGTGTCATTTTGTTTGGGAAGAATTTGTTTTCAGGCCTAATCTACTGTGATCAAGAGCCATTATGCTCTTGACTGTGATCAAAAATAATTGCTATTTTTTGGGTGTACATATAGGGCTATTAACTCGATGTAAGATTTGTTTCTCTCTTGGACTGTCTGCAAATTATTTTTCTCTAAAATCAGTTAGCCTTTCCCTTAAAAGTCACATGAATGTGCCTTAAAGTTAACTGAATTGTGGATTACAAGTTTATTTTGTTTGATTTAAATTATAAATTTATTAATGAGAGTTTCGCTTTTAGCCCTGGCTAAATCAATATATTACATTTATAAGTTGTTCAATGTTAAACCTCAACTTCAACTTCATTAATTCTATCCTATATTAAAATTTAATTTAACTCTTATTTAATAAAAGTTGTGATATTCTTTTGTCATCAATTCAAGTGAAATAGAGCCTTACTTTAATAGATGCCCTGTAACAGCCATGTTACAACCCTACAGACACCTCTGTCTAGAATGTGGACACTTGGCTCTGTCCCTTTGGTGTCCGTATTGAAGTGGTTTGACTGTAATACAGACACCTCTGTCTAGAATGTGGACACTTGGCTCTGTCCCTTTGGTGTCTGTATTGAAGTGGTTTGACTGTAATACAAACACCTCTGTCTATAATGTGGCCTCTTGGCTCTGTCCCTTTGGTGTCTGTATTCAGGACATTGGACTGCAACATACACACCTGTAATGTGGACACCTGGTCCATTTTTCTTGTAATCATCACCCCCCCCCCCCCCCCCCCCCCCCCCTCCCCCCCCCCGCACCACCCCACCACACCACACACGCGAAGGTACTTTTTTTTTTTTTTTTTTGTTTTTTTTTTTTTTTATAACATAAAAAAAAAAAAAAACAAAAAAATATAAAAAAAAAAAACAAAACATAAAAAAAAATACAAAACAAAACCAAACCCACTTTCTTTCTCTATCCTTATTCTCGAATGCATTTTTTATGAACATTCAAAAATGAAACCTCCTTGTAAGTGCTCTGTGCTCTGGTATGATGCTACAGTCAAACCTTGGAAGGGGGGGGGGGGGGGGTTTCAAAAAAAAAGGGCCCGGGGGCCCCAATACAAGGGGGGTTTGTTGAAGGCCAATGCCCTGAAAAAAAAAAACAAGGGGAAAGAGCCAAAAGCCCCCCTTTAATAAAAAGTGGTTTGTTTTGAGATAAACCACCCTTATTGTGGCCCCCGTGTCCTTTTTTTTTTACATCCCCCCCCCCCCCCCTTCCAAGGTTTGACTGTAGCATCATACCAGAGCACAGAGCACTTACAAGGAGGTTTCATTTTTGAATGTTCATGCCATGTGATTATTTAAACCACAGGATCAAAGGTACATGTAAGAATTACATTACGAAAAGTCTCTATAACTGACTATGGAGAATTACACTCCCAAGCCTTCCTTTTTGTTCCAGCCTGTGGGACGAATAGTTGCCTGGTACCAGGCTCCACGCACTCGGCTCGCTTCACTCGCCCATTTTTTGTGCCATTTCACTCCATTTTTTGCCATTTTTTCCTCACATCAGAGTCTGGTACCAAGCTATACAAAAAGGGAACAGAAGTTCACAAGAATTTGACCCTTAAATGAGTTGTAGAGATAAAATTATAACTTATTGGGGACTTTAAGATCCAATGTTGCAACGGCAATGAGAACATCGCTTAAACACTGAATTTGTGTTCTTTCAGTCTGTATCTGTCTGTAATTATTCCTACCCACTTTGTCAAATGTAGACGAACCCTCCTGGAGTTGAATTCCTAGGGACCATATCCAAGTTCAGAAAGAAAAATAAAATTTTGTTGTTGCTTGTTTACATACTCCTTAAAATGTGAAATTAGGTAATTTCATGTCGTAGTTGTGCAAAAATGGGCAAAGAAATGTAAAAGTGTGATGCATGAGCAAAGTTGTTTTGCTTATAAAACCTTTTTTTTTTACATTCTCGTTGCTGTCTGCGTCATTGGATCTTAAAGTCGCTATTTTATATCCCACAAATTACTGTAGAATTGTCGGCGTCAATATGTTTAACTTACGAGAAGCTATACTGTTTGATAGAAACAACGGAAAGGGCGTGGTCCCGGATCAGGAAGGGGCAAAACAAGTGGACGTGGCCACAAAGGACAAGGTCAGAGGAACACCAAACCCAGGCTTGGGTTTGAAGGTGGAAACACCCCATTCTATCTTGCAGTACCCAAGCATGGGTTCAAAAATACGTAAGTAAAGTTGAAATCACATTGCTTGTTGTTTTATTTAAAAGCTTCCTCAAAAGGCCTGGAACACCCAAGAGCAAGCTCCAAAATGAGGTCCAATTTTAATGAAAAGGCCAATCAAAAATAAAACAAATGGTGGGGATAAACATTGTGATATTTTGCATTTTTGTATCAACTTTATGTTTGGTATGCGAAAAGTGGTCAAAAGTGACTGTTCCAGATTATGACAAAACTATTTTTACAAAACTGATAAGGCAAAATATGTAATATGCTGTCTTTAGCAGCCTTTTTCATTAAGTCTGAGGGTGTGTTCCTTTGGGATAACCTGGATCAGGATTGAATCAAGATCTCTTGGATCATGCTGTGTTTAATTTTCTGCTACAGTCACCTGTGATCAGGCAATTCTTTTCAGGACTGACACAGGTATGGATGCAACTTAATGTGTTAGGTTTGGGTTTAGGGTTCAAGTCACAGAACTTACAAATGAAAGTCACTCTTGCTCACCTACAATTAAACCATTGCTTTAATCATGGAGTATGAAAGGAAACCCTAAATTCAATCTGGACTACAGTGTAGGGTTTATTGGTGCCTTTGAGCTGAGTGATCATGGTTCGTAAACCGTGATCTGAATCATTCCAAAGGAATGCACCATAAAAAATAACAAACAGGACTGTCAGGCAGCAGCCAGCAAAAATCACAACCAAGCCTTTGCCAGCTGCTCTGGTAGGCTAATATTTCTCTGATTTTTTAGTACAAGATGGCAAAATCAGCTAACTATTTCACCAACAAGTGTCATGCATATTTCAAAACTTTCTTACAACCTTTTACCTGTAACTTGTCTTTTGACCTGTAGGAAACAAAAGTTCTTTTCACCTTTGAATTTGAACCGGCTTCAGTTCTTCATCGACAGTGGGCGCCTTAATCCTAAAGAACCTATTACAATGTATCACCTTTGGAGATCAGGTGCAGTGGGTGGAAGAATAAAGGATGGGGTCAAGTTGCTTGGAACGGTAAGTCCTCCTTATTTTTCTTGTACTGCCACCTGGTGAACCCATAATTTGGAAGAGTGCCAGTCTGCTGAGTGGGAGGTCGTGATTTTAAACCTCCTTACATGATATTAGCCAAACCTAACATTGATGAGCAAGAACAATAGATTTTGCTCACTAGCATTAGGATTAGCTCATGTGAAGGTTCAGGGTTTTGACGTAAGCCTCAAAGTGTATTATTTTTTCTAAATTTTTAACCTTTAAGCGCTTCACTAGCTGAGTGGAGGGGTTACTTTGGCCAATGTATTGATGACCGAATTTTGTCCCTGTGCACATTTAAGATTTTTAAACAGTATTGTTTATCCATTTTTTATTGCTGTTGTTGTTTCTCTATTGTTCGGCTTTTTACCGTTTGTTGAAGCAATAAAAATTAAAAATTTCAATGCAGGGCACTAGATTTAAATATTCAAAATGTTAGAGATATTCACTTACAAGTAAACACTTTTCCTTGAAGTAGAAGGAACATGAAATTCTTCACTGTACACTGATTGCACTGAGTATGTGAATTGTTCATTCTATTATCGCTTGCGATTAATTGCTGTTAAACTCACATCAATCACTTAAGGTGCTTACCAAATGTCAAAACTGGCTGGCTAGACCAATCAATTTGAAAATGAAATGGGCCTTTCTGGAGAGTCCTCCATTTAATCCAGAACTTTATGCGTACTATTTATGAGTTGACTGATCTGGCCGGACATCCCTGATTAAACATTAATGAAATTCTCTTTACGACTGGACCAGAGGCGACTGAACTGGTCTGGCGGACCAGTTCTGCCTAACGGTAAGCGTGAGCTAGAACAAGTCGTTGATTACTCATTATAAAATCACCATGTCAATAGGTTTGCCTTATCTCTAGCATGTAGTTTAGCGGGAAGTGGACTTTTGGCGTTCTTGTGTAGTGGTTTTGCCCACATTTTTCGGGCAATTTGTCGCTGTAAGAGTAGACACTTAGCGATAAAAATTTAGTAGCGTCAAGGCATAACAAAAGGGAAAATGCCTTACGTCCGGTTGGCGTCCGTTGCTCAAAACCTTCTTTGCTTAAGCTCCCTTTGAAACATGTTCCTTGGACCTTTTTGAGTCTTATAAGCAGCTGGGTAGACACTTTTCCTTCGGACAAGCACTAAATTAAAGTTGGTTGTCCGAAACCCAAGAGTTCTTGTCCAAAAGTTTTGCTCGAAACTCGGGCATTTAATGATCTTCTCTTGATCCACTTTATTCTTTGCTAGCATCCCAGATATTTTCTTTTCTCGGTTGCTTTGAAAGAAAAACTAACAATGAAGACTATACTTTTTGGACTTTTTGTGATTCCACCATTATATCAACTCAAATTTTGAGCCAAGGAATGAGTTACGTCTTAACAGAAGAAACTTTTTATTATTAATTTGAAGTCAATTTTCAACTGTTTCAGTATTTTTTTGTAATTAAAAATGTACTTGTCCCACGGACAAGTCATGTGAAAGGTTTACATGTCCGAACTAAATTCTACCTGTCCTGGACGATCGGACGCACCCTGAGGTTATTGCGAGCGTTCAGGTTTGTAAAGGACTAATTATCTGAGTTATTAAGTTTTGCATTTCCTGGTTTTTTTGTAGGGGAAGACCTGGTTCCAGACAAACGTTGATATAGAAGTCAGCCAAGCTTCAAAAACTGCAATAGAAGCTATTGAAAAACAAGGAGGAAAAATCACTTGCGCACATTATAACCGACTGGGACTACGTGTTTTGCTTAAGCCGGAGAAATTTGAAGGACGGCCAATTCCAAGACGAGCACGCCCACCGAACAAGCTAATGGAATATTATACCAACCCAAAAAACAGAGGATATCTTGCGGATCCTGCTGAACTTGAAAAAGCCAGAAATGCAAACAGGCTTCATAACGAAGTGGACTGAGATTAGCTTCCGTGTGTTGTAAGGGGTGAAACAATGCACACTGATCTTAAGAATTAAAATTCTGTTTTTATGTGAAGGAATCCATGACTGGTTGTGAGCTGTTTCACTTTTTTTCTGATTTATAGACTCGGTTCACAGCAAAGACGGGACTGCCTTTTGCGCCGGTGGTGGGTTTAGTTGGCTACCGACAATGGTGGATCTCCAGAGCCACCAAATGGCAACCAAAATTGGCATCTAAAAATGCGTTGGTTTCCAGGGACCCGTTTCTCGAAAGTCCCGAAAAGCTGTTTTATGTTTGCAGTGTTTGCCTTCAATATCAAAGTTTCAATAATTTTGAAAATGATGCAATGAAAGTATCAGTTAACGAAGCAAAACTGACCGGTTTGTGAGCTAGGAACTGTGCTACTATTCAACAAGTTTTGATTTCAAAATTTACCTTCGGACCCGAAACGTTACCAGGCCCATCGAGAAACAGGATCCAGGGTCGACAGCGATAAACTTTAAAGCTCCTTAGAGACCCTTACGTACATATGTTCCATATTGATACAGTGAGGCCCCTTTTATAGCGACCACCTGGGCAAAAAGCCATGAAAATATGGTCGCATCATTGTCGTATGGACGAGCGTTCTTGCGCGTTTGAGTTCACCTTAACTTTTCGAACGACTGCCATTGGCTCTATCTACATTTACTAATCATTTACCAGGTATTTAGATAAGAAATATGCATTATTAACCAAGCGAGGCCAAGATGGCTGGATATTAGCCAAGTTCTTTTTTGCGTTTTTATGGATTGAGACGAAGCACGTATAGAATACAGCAACCCCCCCCCCCCCCCCCCCCCCCCCCCCGGGCCTGGAAAAAAAAAAATTGGTCAAAAAAGGATTTTTTATTTGGCCAAAAAAAAAAATATTCCTCGGAAATTAACGGGGGAAATCCGAAGCCGGGAAAGCCCAAAAAAACCCCGGATCCCTTTCCATGGCCATCCCTAACCGGGGGGGTTGTCGGAAATATTTTTAATAAACATTTAACGGGTATTTTATTAACAAAATTCGTCTTATTAACACGCGGGGTCCAGTTGGCTTGAAATTACCCAATTTTTTTTTTGCATTTTTGTGAGTCAGGACGAAACGCCGAAAAAATACAGCAACCCCCCCCCCCCCCTCCCTCCCCGCTCGGGTCTTGAAAAAACAAGATTGGTCAATAAAGGATTTATTATATGGCCAAGAAGAGAACTATCTCTGCGGAATTAACGCGGGAAATCCAGAGCTCGGATAGCCAATCAGAACACCGGATTCCGTTGCATGGTCATCACTACACGGCGGGGTTGTCGTAAATAAGGTTTCTAGTTCCCAGGGACAGGGTACTCCCTCTTTTGGCGAGGGAAGGCGGGGGATGGCGGGTGGCGGGTAGAGAATGAATAAGGGAATGAGGCTACTTTCCTACCTTGAATGGTCATCTGCTTTGTGCCATTTCAGACTACGCCGCGCGCGTGCAGGCAAACCCTTGAGGGCGCTATTAGCATTTGACCTCCCATATCTCTCACACTGGCATCTCCCGCAGAATAAAAGAGAAGTCGATGATCGATTGGTTTGTACTGTACAGATATCTGTTCTTTATACTTAGCAACTACCAACATGTGTAGTAATCCCTAGCTTTTATAGTACAGTTTCAATCAAAACTTATCAATGCAATGTTCATCATGTAAGTGGTATTCAGTACTAAGCCCCCAAATTCAACAAAAGGTGAGATCTTCTCTAAACTATACAACATGAGCAACAACGTTTTTCGTCAGGTTATTTCGTTTGTATTATTGCTCTTTCGATAAAAGTAAATTAAAGAACGTGAAACGAAAATATTGCGGTCTGGATATTTTCTTTTTACGATTGAACTTAGCCTCTTTTTGCATAAGCAGGTTAACTTCATCATCGGAGCAAACAAAACATTCAGCGAGCTGTGTGTTTAGCTGTTGTACCAACAGTTGTCTTAACAACAAAATAACTAGTTTTTGCATGTTGTGTGGTCATCAAACCGTCAATACCGTGTTTCTAATAGCTTCTCACAGGGTGAAATGTCTGAAGAATGTATTCTGTTGTTATTTGACGTGACAGCTTTTTTCAAGATATTCTTGACCTCTTTTCACCGTTAAGGGCAAAAAACTGCGTTTTTTTATGTGCTTCATTCAAGTTTCCTCTCATTTTAGGTAAGCCTCACAAAGATTAAGTATCTCGCATCTTTCTCTGCTCTGTCTCGGGCAAATGAATTCAGTCCCCGGCTGAACTGTATTGACCAGCAGTTCGCAGAAAAAAAAATGATCGATAAACAAGCAGACCTCCTTAAATATGCGATTTTCGTACCGTTCAAAGTGAATGGTTTTAATTTTATAATTCCACAGTTCCGTCTTAGATACTTTCTTAATATAGCAACATTGTAGACCATTTTTATGGTTTTTTTTCTAGTTTTTGAGCCTCTATAAACTCTATAGTGCGACAGCTTGCGACCATCAAAAAAATGATTTTTTTCACGCTTAGCTTAACGTTTCAGTTTGTTAAGTATCGAAGAATCGAAACGAAAGTTCTATTGAACGGCGGCTTTTGGTTTTCATCTACAGATTTTTCCTTCTGACCTTCCTAAGTTCCGTTATGTCTTAATTGGTTTGGATACTCTACATGCACACACAGTAAATTTATGAGCATTCACCAAGTAACTTTATCCTTTTTATTTGGGAGTCTCCGGAAAAGGAAGAAAAATATCTTCAACAAATACATGCAGGAAAGCTTACGATTTTTTTAAGGCAAGTTTGCCATCTGTTTACAATCAAAGTCAGACAGTTCGATAAGTATTTTCTGTTTGGTTATTTTCCTGACACTTAGGTGTGTTGCAGAAGGGAATTTTCCTCATCACGCAAATTGAACAGTGCAGTATTTGAAACTGGACATTTGAAAACCTTAATTGGGGGTATTGCTCGACTCGTCAAGCTGGGGAACTTCCGATGTATACCAGTATATACATATAAATTATAATTTGGGAAAGAGAAATTTGTTAGACAAGACAAAATATTCGTGTTTATTCGACCTTTCGCCACACCAACAGTGTTTCAGCTGGCTGAACTGACCGTAGTAGCAAGGTTTATCTTGTTCAGACAGCAAACTGCTAAACATGTGCATGTGGGGTCCTTCAGACACACGCTATCGCATATTTGATCAGGAACAGCTCACAAAGTACTCAACAACAGAGGCAACGTGTGAAAAACCCGGAGGTCTCTCGAATGAAAGAAAACTGAACTCTGTCAGGCAAAAGTACGATTGGAAGAATATCTCAATTCTTAAATGAGTTGCTAGCGTTTCTTCCTTTCAACAAACATAACCCTTATTTCCCTTCGATAAAAGAGATTTTCATCGGAATGTTTTGACAATAGTGTTGAGAGATAACCTACACTGATGTTGTTCATCACAGTCAGAGTTTGTAAATCACAACAGAGTTTTGATACCATTGGAATGTCCCCTTTTTTGCTCAGCTGCTTTTAATCAAACAGAGATTTTAATATGAGAGACATTCGCAATAACCGGGAAGGATTTGGTAATGAAAGTCACTGCTTACGAATGAATTTAACGCGAGGTTGTTACGGGAAATTAAAAATCGATTAAGAAGGCGTGCCGACAGAGTTTTAAAAAACATCAACCGCGATTGGAGACCGCTAACACGTAGAACTATACCAGGGCTTTCAAAAGACGTACCAGCCTGTAATTATTTAATAAATCGGCTCATTCTACGATCGGGTTTTTGGCCGGTTTGATACGATAGCAAGGTTTAAAACGGAATTCCATCTGTCGCGTGCCTTTGTTTCGTTACAAAACATGAGGCTTTTAAAAGGGAGGAAATCGTTTTTCCGAATGTTTGCGATCAGAGCACGAAACAGGCTTGTTTTAAAGGCAGCAGATTTTACTTGTAAGGGTATCTTACACATTCGCAAAGGTTTAAAATACTTTAGTAATAAGTTTAGTCTACACATTCCATAACTTGGTTTTTAGCGTCAAAAATAGGATTTTGAGAAGTGGGGGTTTACATTTGTTTGAACAACTTGACAGAAATCAAATCAATCACATATAAAAACAACACATCATTTGCAAGTTAAAATAGCTGACAGCTTCAAGTTTTCAAAACAAGCTTCTGAAAAATAAAATTCTCGAGTCTAAAATATCATTAGTCCTACGTAAAAAAGTACATGTACTGAACCATTAGCCCGCGTATTACTTTAATTACAGTAACTCTGTTAGATGTGGAGATAAAAATTTAAGATATCGAGATTTGAAGCTCTTGAACTATCGAGTAGAGTCGAAAAAGAAGGACTTGCTGTACAAACAAGATCCCCCGCATCCGATCCTACTCGGAGCTAACTTGCCGGCGTTTTCACATATTGCTCAAAGCCTTGTAATCTTTACATCTTCTTAGCTTCCCTGCAAAAACAATTACATAATATAGAGTAGATAAACTTTACTGAGAAACTAAGTCGGTAGACAGGACCTAGCCAAAAGTCGCAAATTTAGCATAAGGTTGTGTGCTGAGGTTTGGAGTCTGTTCAATATTATTACTTATGCAGACTTCCTTCAAATCTGTGCAATGTTAGATCCAGCATGACATTAACGAGAAGTGGATGTCCACTTGAAAACCATATGGAGACAGATTCCTTTCGTAAATTAAAAAACACATTAAATCCGTTTCATGTTTACAGCCTATCTTCTGCAAGGAGTTAGAAAAGTGAATTAAGACTCTATAAAACGTTCCAGATTGTGTTTTCAGCGATTTTCACGAATTTAGTTTTCATGAGCACACGCTAATCTAAGATTAACGATTTTGCGGTTTTTACTTGCAGTCTCCGATCCAAGAGTATTAAGGCAGGATTTCTGAAACAAAATACTTCGATTACAAGAAGTGAAAGCCAGACGTTTCTTAAATTATGAACGAAAATAAACTTTTCGTGCCTCCATTTATGTATAATTACAAAATCGCATGTAGAGGCCCTCCATGCACAAAAAAGCAAAACATACCGTGCCTACCATTCTACTTCTAGGAAACAGGTTCCTCTCACGCTTCTCAAGCCGTCTGTTTTATTGGCAAATGACTGCTGGAAAATGTCTTTTAGTTTTTTCTGATTCTTGTCGAGACAGCAAATCGCTTTCCACAGATGTCTAATTCTTTTGTCCATAACTGAAGCGATGTCCAAACATTCCTTCACACTGTCTCGAATGAGGGGGCGGGAAATGCCTACTTTGTCACTGAACTGTTCATACGTTTTGGTACAAGGAATATACGGACACCGGGCAATATATTTATCCATGACTCTCGTCACAACTTTGGATGTGACTATAAAACTGAAACCAGTGAATTTATGCTTACTCATGCCTACTCTTTCCGTCCCGGTCTAAGTTAGAGCATATCGTACGGCGTTTTCCCTTGCCTTATAAATGAAATTGGCTTTCGTGAGCAGAAATCATGTTTACGCAAAGTATTACAATATTGCTCATTAAAACGGGTTTTTACGCGTTTAAGTGACAACATTGTTGCCTTATCAAGATCTACAAGGCCACCATACCTTATTATTAGCGGTTATAAGAGATCGTTTTGAGCGGAATCCTCGTTGTTCTCTCGTCAGTTGATTCCTGACTTACAAAGTTTTCTGCAGTCTGTGAATGGGGCAGCTCTAGCGCTGATTCAAGATCTTGGATGTAGTCGATGACATGTTGTAAAATCTCTACTTTACTCATGCGTCTGTTGTCTGATCCTTGAGGTAACATAGTTCTGAGCCTCTCGTAACAATCGCTCATGTTGTAGATGCACCCCTGCTCGAGGAGCGACGATCTCAATCCGCGCTCGTGATCTCTTGAAATGCTTGATGATGTACTCATAACCGAGCGTAAGGGGTCTGCATTCAAGTTGGTGCGCGATCTCGAAGCCTGTGGTTTCATGCTTAAGCTGAGCGTGTTGGAACGTTCGATGAAACCCCCTCACTGAAGACAGCGAAGTTACGCCTGAACAGAACACTGAAGGTATTTACCTGAGCGGAATTGAAGCTGCTGCGTTTTGTCCGGCGTATTTACTGAGCGGGTTGGCAACTTGCAGCTGTGTAAACTTGGTGACAAATTTAAACCAATGACAGGACTGTCGAGTGAGGTCTGGCACACAGCTGAGAGCAATCAAAACAACCGCGCTGCGACAGCCAATCAGAGACAAGTTCGTCCCAAAAAAAACAGGCTCTCGCGGAGAGTCGACTGCAGGACAAGGACCCTCGTGTACGATAGTTCTTAACTTTAATTAAATTACCGGCAATCCAATTGCTATTATTTTTAAAAAGGTTGAAACTCCCATTTGTCCAGTTATTAAGGGAAATATTTCACGGACTAAAGTAGAAAGAGAACAGATTTGAGTCCCCAACAAGACCTGGAGCCATGACCTTCCTCAAGCACTTAGCTACGGAAGGACTCGTGGCGAGCTTTGAGATTGTCCATATGCTACATTGATATGCGACACGAGTCGTGCAGACGCCTAAAATCAAGCATCCTATGTGCGATTAACATGAAGTGTTCGTCATGACGAGACAGCGAAACAAAGGAAAAAGTTAAGGGTAGTTTGGGTAGGGGTGTGCCGCTGGGGTCTTCAAAACCTGACCCCATTTAAGACAAAAAGCGTTCATTTTGTCTAACTTGTTTAAGACAAAAGAACTTCATTTCGTCCAGTGAGTTAAACTAATTTTATGGAATTAGATTTTCAGAGAAAAATACTGTTGGAACCTCAAATGTAGACCGCTCATCACCAACCTTCACACTCTTCACATCCTGTTGAAGACGCGAAACTGCGTGGAATGAAATACCCTCTTTTAGACTTAAGACCGAGAAAACATACCCTTTTTAGAGGCAAATACCCGTTTAGGCGAAATAAGGGTGTATCCACCCGGGGACCTAGGAGACCCTAACTCATTGCCCAGGGAACCCGGAATCGCGTTTTACCGGAGGCGAAATGGCAAATCGATATTATGTGGTAGAATTTGGGACGTGATTGCCGCGCATTCACTGAGGATATTGAAATAATTCATTTATTTTAATCCCCTCGTTAAATGTCCTTTTTGTAATTGCCAAATTAAAGCCAAACTTGAGATTAGACATTTCCACTAACTTAAAGGTTTTAATTAGAAACCAGTTTCTTTTTCCACTTGGTTAGTAATTCTTAGTCATGTCTTCAGTTCATCTTAATATCCCATGTACAGCCGATAGCATTTCGTCTTAAGCCAATAAACGGTAATTTCTCTCACACAGTTACGATTTCATATCCGAGAGTGAAACTAAATAAGGTTTTTCACGGACTTTTAGAAATCAAGTTTACCACTGTTAATTAGCTTTTTTTCTATGACCGAAAGGTGGAGTGTACCTATAATTTTTAAGTGATAAAATAGAGTTATCGTGTTTTGCGCCTAAAAGCTTTTTAAGACCGCAAATTCTCTTTCTGACAAACATCTGTTTTAGTTTTGGTAAAAAACTCTGCACTATCACTTTCACCTTTTCTCCACATGTGTTGTCTTTTTTTTCATACTTGAATGTTCACTTTGACAGACAAACCGACGTAAATTCTTAAAGCTAGACTGCTGAACAAACGAAAGGAAAACAGCCATTCGCCTGTTTTCAAAAGGAGAGAGAAGCAAATGCCATGCAGATGGAATAAACATTTCCTGCTACAAGTGCACTGGTTTGGTTCAAAATGAAAACATTCCGACAAGGAAATCAACTCAACCCGTCTTTGTCGCGGGAGCAGATTTTCTTAATCTTACTTGAAAGACTTACATTTTAATTCACGCACATTATGTCTGTTCTGTGTACGGACGCACGTATTCAAGAATAATTGCGGTAATAGACATAAAACATGTGCTATATGCACACTTATATTTCAGCTGGCTTCTGAGTAAGGGTGTTGGTTTTACCTGTAAGTAGGAGAGGCTAAGTTCAAAAATCTAAACGTCAAATCAACTGCTAATATCTTTTTTCGGGGGGCAGTGCCCCCTCAGTCATCTTGAGGAACACCGATATCCACTAAAAAGCACTGCCCAAAGAGTTCGGGGTGGTAGGAGCCGATTAAAGCTTAAGTTCAAGGATTTTATTCAGAGCCAACAGTTCAAATTTAATGAACAAACGACCGTCCAGAAGATAGCTTTCTGCGTTAAGTTTCAAACTTAACGTTTTTATCATGAAAAAGTTAGATTTTTTTGTTTGAGGCTTAACAAAAATCGCCTAGTTCAACGAAATAACAAACAAAACCCTGGCAGATGAGCAGGAGCAGTTGTTACTAAAACCCGGTCCCTAGTCTTTTATAAGTGCATCAACATTAACGTTATTTTAAAAGCAACACTTAAGAACTTAACGGAACCGTCTTTGGAGATCTATTAGGGAAGAATAATTGGGACGAGTTATTACTACCGAAATCGCCACACGCAAAGTTACAAATCTTTTTCTGAAACTTTGCGTCTGATCACTTCTTTAAGGATTAATCCGCAGTTAAAAAAAACAAAACAGAAACGTAGTGACTGAAGGGAGCACCGGGGATACAAAGTTCCCGCCTCCCATACCCTGCATTCTCAGCTCCTACCCTATTTCCTAGGCTTTCTCCCTTTAGCCTAGCCATTCTTTTATTAGGAAATATTAAAGTACCCTGCGAACGGCAAACGTTTCTCCTCGCTCATCGCCAACTGAATGGGACGTATCAAAAGTCTCGAATTCCTTTCGGAAACGGAAAGCGGTTTACTATCCTTCAAGTTTTTATTTTGGAGTTGTCTTGTTTATTGCCTTTGCGCGTGAGCAACAATTTTAAAAAAACTGTTTGAAGTAACTACATAATTTCCATGCTAAAGATCGTGTATACACTGTCAGCTTTCATGTTAATTGTGAGACTTGACTGTATTTCATCTACAGAATAAAAGTTATTAACTCTAAAGTTGATTTAATACTTATGTTAATTATTAAGTTCTGACTGTACTACATCTAAGGAAAGTCTGTTTTTTTTTTCAGACAAACATGTCGTGACTTTCGCCTGTGATGAAACACGTCCACTTTCACTTAATCGCAGATTGTTCGCGAACGAACTGCCAAAAAACAACAAGGTTAAGAATAAACGTTTGCCGAAAAAAAGGTTTTTCAGAGTAGTCAATGAGGCTTTTCGCGCTAAAAAAGGACGATCCTCCTCATCAAAGACGCGTGTAAGGCCCATTGACCTGTTTGTGCAGATATATCACGATCGCAATTTACGTGTTGGATAAGAATTTAGCAGCTGCTTGGCCTGTTCTCGCGTTCACGCCTCCACAGCAGACACTCGATTACCATCGGAGACATGGTAAAATTGAACAGGACAACCTGGACTCCGCAGATTGGGATCAAGGAAGATGGAAAGAAAAGATACAATTAAGGCGTGAGGAGCTGATTCATTGGCCAATAAATATGCCCATTTTAGGGGCAAATTTGGTAACCCTTTTTAAACCCTTAGGCTACGAATTTTCGACCGGTCGTCTGATTTCTCGAGAAAAAACCGCAGAAATTCCATACTGATAAGTGAACTACCCGGATATGATACTGCTGATAGTGCTGCTGTATCACTGTTGTTGGTTGAAGCAAATTTTCAATTAATCAGATCGAAAGGACTCCCCAGATCTGGGTAGTGACGCGTCATCAGTATGAAATTTCTGCGCTCGTTCCTCACCTGTCATTAACGGGGAAATCGTTGGTGCCGTTGCGAAATGTCGGCTGTTTTCTCACTTTTATAAATTTCCGCTAAAACGAAAATACACGAAGATCCCCGGAAATATCCGAAATTATTTAGGAGTATCCTGAAGACATCCTAAATATTTTCCCGAGACTGAGGCGTCCAAAAACGATCGGAAGATGACTGAAAGATGTGATAATAAGTAGGACGAGAGCATAAGACAAGGAAAATAGTAGGATTCAAATCTGTGACCTCCCAAACACAGGGCAGGCACTCAAACAACTCAATCCCGGCACTGAGCTACAGAGAGACTCATGGAGAGCAAGGGCATACACTAGGTTTACATTTGTTTTGTTTTTTTGTTGTTGTTGTCCCATATGCTTGTGATATGCTTATTACCACATCTTTCACGTTTATTTACCGAGCTCAAAGAGTCATCTTTTTTTTTATCACTATACAGTATCTAGACTGCGTAGCAGGCGCCGGTTTTGTTAGGGTGGAGAGAGAAATTTCGAGGCTATACAGTACCCTCACGACATTACCTACGTCTAGCCGTACCCTCCCCCCCCCCCTCCCGGGGAGAAAACAGATTGGGAGGGAGGGTAAGGTTACACATAAGCAGTGTTAACACTGATCCTAGCAGTGTGTAGTATGCTCCCGAACAATACTTAGACAAAGCACTGTGTAAACTAAGCTATCTAAGCGCTTGTATTACGAGTTACACTAAGATGAATTATTGTTCGTCTACGAAAGGAGTCCTTTAGTCTAATAAGCATTTATTAATATATAAAACTTGCCATGCATTTTCCCTTTAAAGATTACCTAAAAGATGGATCTACTATAAATGTCATAAAATCGATATGACATCGCAGATACAAATCTGGTTATTCTACTTAGCTCTTAATCATAAATCGTGATGTTTATCACGGTATGAAAATTTACACTGGATTTTGAAAGTCGAAAGTTTACAAAAACTTTCGATAACGCCCAGTCGAGTCTATGATAGGCTGTAGTCATTTGCTATCGACCAGCAAACAACTGCTGTAAAGCTTGTTGTTGCTTCATTTTCCTCAGCATAACTAAGAAAATGCAGGTATTTATTATGCCCCGCTCTCTTTCCTTTACCCAAAGGTTCAGAACGTTAAAAATTCAAATACTTTTGTTACATTTAAGAGCTTATATAGACTATAGAATATATTTTGTCATGATTCAAGCTTATGTCATACCAGCTAATGCATTTCGCATTGTTGCAAAGTTAATGTATGGGGTATTCACCAGCTGGGGGGTGGGGGGGATGAATATCCTGGGGAAGTGGCCATTTTCCAACGGATGTGAGTGACTGATCTGGTATAATGTAACTTCACGATTACAATTACGATTACTGCCGCTTACAGCTTTACGGTATTCACCTTTAACTAGTCTGACTCACGTTTTTGTACACATTGCACCTAAATACTGCTAGAGTGGGCATCTCGTCCCAATAGGTAATTAAGGTCAGGCGCGCTAAATTGCGGACATTGCCATGAGATAACTACCCAATTCTAATCCAGAGTAGCCAGCCCGGCAGAGCAGGCGCAAAACACTAATGCAATAGTTTGGTTTACACTAAAAAGGTTTATTCCTGGGCCTCAAACGCTACCTAACAGGGTTGTCCCGTTCATAAAAGACGCGTGTAAAAGGTTCATTTAGTTCCTTGACTGCTGGTTTGTGCAGAGAGCCCCATCCAGTGATTTAGTTTGTACTAATACGGTACATTTCTAAACTGAGTCTAGCAACAGGCGTTCAGTTTCGCGCTTTTCTTAGCGGCCTTGTTAGCGCAATCTCGTTGATCAAAGACGCGTGAAAAGCGCCGATTGACTCTACTGACCGTTTTCTGTAGTTAAAACTTATCCAGTAGTGAATTATATTTTGCTATATTCTTGAAAAGTCACCGAGTAACAGCGTTCAATTACGCCCACTCGCATATCCTATACCCAAAAGGTGGGAAGCATGAAGAAACATTGTTTCTTGTCCTGGTGGTGATTTGTCTTTAGTCTCAAAACTGAGCAAAACTATACTGTTCTTTGATACAACTCATGTTGTCTCTAGTAGCTCGGACTTGTTTCTCGCTGCCGTTTTGCTGGTGAATTGAGTGCGTAGTTAGCGTAAGGTAGTACTGTGTGCTGGGTAATGCAATCTACGGGAAAAAGGTAAGCGCAGATTTACAAAACTTTCCACTAAGAGAGAGAGAATCGTTAATTTTTTTTAAATAACGCTACAAAAATCGGAGTTCAATGAATAAAACTTTTTTAAGAGTAGATTTCTAGTTTTGCAGTGTAAACAGTAGCGCTAGCGACGGTTTGAACAGGAAATCGCTAAACAAGGGTTTAACGCTGAAGATGTAACGGACGGAAGGGTTTTTTCGCTTTGTTGTGAGACCACCGCTGCGATTCATTTTGCAGTGTCAGGGGCGCAAAACCCGCACAATGTACCAGTGTTTCTGCTGCTGTGTGCGCAGATTAAGAAACTTACCACACAAAGTGTTGTATGTGTTACTTTTCCTTTAAATTGGGTGGACTAGCTCGTATGGTTCAGTTTTCTTTTCCGAGTCCTTCCCCGATGCTCTATTCGTGTCTCATTATAATGACTTGCATGCAGTGAAAATGGATTAAATTAAATTAAATATGTCTTTAGGTATCCAACGCGGGTGGGTTATAACAAGGATAATTTTACATCAAAGTGTATTTAACAGAGTCATGAGATTCAAAAGCTGAAAAATCCCGAAATGCTGGCCCCACTGTCTCTCAGCTGACGAAGGGCCAGGTTTAAAACGCTAGCTTTTGAATTTTTATTGTGATAATTTTGACTTAAACTCATTCAGTAATACCGTTGGCTTTTTTTTCAACTACCCACCATCCCAGCAGCAACAAACCAATAGCCTCAGTGCGCATAAGTCGACGACCGCGTTTGAGGACATAGAACGAGTTCAGCTGATACCTTTACAAAGACATGACCAAGGCTGAAACTATGAACAAAACTCACCGAGCAGCCACTGCTCTGTGATGTTTACCGCTTGTGTTCTTCTTGTCATTGAACCGATACAGATGCCTGCCTTTCTGACTGATGTGCTCACCTTAGATATAAATAAAGGAAAACAGTTACAGTCGACTCTCTCTTAACGGACACCTCTATAAGACGGACACCTCTGTAAAACGGACACTTAGAGTTGGTCCCTGCCTTCCTTTAATCATTTTATTTGACTCTCTATAAGACGGACACCTCTCTAAGACGGACACTTAGTGCCGGTCCCAAAGGTGTCCGTCTTAGAGAGAGTTGACTGTACTTCCTTTTTTAGCCCCGCTGTTCCAGGCTCTCAGTAAACTGAGACGAGCAAAGAGCGAGCGCGAAAAAAATTAAACGTTGGAGAACAGGGAAGAGACAGAGCGACCTCTTTTCCTCTCCTTCATTTTTCACCCTCTTCTTTTCCTTTCGCTCGTTGTGACTAGCCTAGAGCCTGGAACAGGCTATGACTTAGTCTTAGAACTAAGCTGTGAACTATTAGACGAACAGGTATCATTGACCAGTTTTTCAGTTAGTGTAAACTAATAAGCAAGATTTTGTTAAGTAGTTTTTTTGGGCTCGTGGAGACAGATCAATAATTGCTGTCTTGACAATAGCGCCCGCAGTCATCGCGCTTGGTGGAAGGAGTGGTGGATCAGAGGACAACAGACGCGCCTTCTTTATAATATATCTTTAAAACATGTTAACAGTAAGCTCGGACGTCAGGATACATATGCGTCACTGGCAGCCCCTAACAGTCTATCTGTTAATTGGGAACTACTAGGTCGTACACACGAATAAGTTCTGAACTTGACAGAATTTGCATGCCGAACCCTCCCGAACTTTTTTTGATTTTCAGAGGCTTCCACTTAAAAGAAGGCGTCATAGGTTCCCCTCATAAATCAAATTTCAGAGGAGAATACTATTACCGCAGGAATGGTTTAGTGGGCCACAGGCAGTAGTTCATAGTCTCCTCCAAGTTTGACATTGTTTAATACGAAAAATAGCCTGAGAAAACAGCCGACATTTGGAGACGCTACCACTGGTTTTCCCGCCAAATGACGTCTGAGAAACGAGCGCAGAAATTCCATACTGATGACGTGTCACTACCCAGATCTGGGCGGTGCTTCTGACTGGGTAAATCAAATTTCCCATGCGGCATGACCAATCAGAAACACTGCCCAGATCTGGGTAGTGAAGCGTCATCAGTGTGGAATTTCTGCGCTCGTTTCTCAGACGTCATTTCGCGGGGAAACCAGTGGTAGCGTCGCCAATTGTCGGCTGTTTTCTCGGCCTATAACAAAAGCAAAGACATTTGGTTCTTGATGTTCATTACCTTTCCACCACAGAGGTTGATAAGATTCATCAGGGAATCGCTTGGGGGAGAACAATTTTCAGACAAAAATATTGGTGGACATTCAGCAAAAAGTTCCTGCCGGTAGCTTGATCCAGCGCTGACTCGTTCAAGGCGACACAACTACCTCACAAATATGAACAGGAAGACAATAGATCACATCGACTTACACCAAGTTAGTGAACAGCAGTTTCAGTGAAAGCATGGCTGATGGGTTGGTGGAGGTGGTGGTTGGGAGTGTGCTGATTTTCACGGGCTCATAACCTACCTTCAGTCGATGAGTACCGGTATTTTCCACATGTACTAGCCACATGCTTATGCGTAATTGAGCGAGTGTGAGGTTACGATGAATGAATATGACGAATATTGGCCAAATTCCTTTTCGCGTTTGTCCGAAATCCCAACAACGGTTGTCCAAAATCTGCTAAAATATCGTCCGAATTGTTTTTTATCCGGAAACAATTAAGTAACCCGTCCTTTTCCCTCGAGGCCTAATATTCGCATACACAACAAAAAAAACCTTTACAACTTTGTCTACATACCAAAAGTTATGATACTGAGCATAAATGGGCCAGGAATTCTCTGGAAAGGGGGGAACCGAGTCCGCAAGGACCGCAAGCTAACAATCACTAATTTTTACCTGTGCGGCGGGAAATGCGTCGGATAATTCATAAGGCTCTTCGTCCACCCAATAACCAACTTCTAGAGACTTCATTATCTGTAAGGCAAAAATCGTGCCACATTCTTGCAAGGAATACCAGAGAATGACTCAAACTAAACCAGAATTTAAGCTCAAACTAACGAACTGGCTTATCCTGACCAGTGACCGGGTTATGAATTCCGAAAAGGAGGTAATTGAATCCATATAAGCCAGTGTCAATTTAAACTGTCTAGCCTATAAAGGAAAGTTTTGCTGTCGTAAAAAAAACCGTATAAATAAAAAAGTACGAACTGACTGTCTTATAAAAAGATCGATGTCGCTTTTAGCGTAAATGTATATAGAAGTCAAAGTTTGAGCATTTTCTGGGAAAAATGGCATTGTTTCATACAGACATAGTTGTTTTGGTAACCTCTTACTTCGTATTAGAATTTTGTTGGTTTGTTGTAGTTTTCTGACTGACACCTAATATTGACAGTGATAGACTGTTACAATCATGTGCTGCTTGCCGCGTTGAAGTTTTGCCGGTCTAAATTGTACATCATCATAATTTTAAAAGTAGCTTAATTGTGTGTGACAAACAATTATTGTATACTCTTATTGTTATCTATTTATTAATTTACTTTTTTATTTTCATTTATTTTAACTAAGCCGATATTTTACTATCTATTGACTTAAAGGGGCATTTTAGCGGTTTACTGAGTAGGTACACCCCACTGACACCCTCAAATAAATCTTACTTTTCGAAGTCTACCTCACATGATATTCTTCAACTCAAATGAAAATTAAGTCTCTATCATTGCCGAGCGCACGGAAAAAAGACTTAGAACCGAACTCAAAAGCCCCTTTGGGGAAGAGTAAAGTAAGTAAAGTAAGAAAGTGTAGCTTCAGTAATGTGGAAATGGCCTATACAAGGATAGAAGAAACAAATCCCTTACCATAGTTTGGCAAATCAAACCCGTATTCTACAGATGAGATCATTGTTGCTCTACCTACTGAGCTATACAAGGCCAAACGGGAGCGCGGCCTAATGTGCAAGATATTATTGCTAATACTCCAGTTTTGAAAAATAAGCTGTACTTTCTTACCCACATAGGCGACACCAGCCAACAGCCTTGCGCAATAGCCATCAGTACATTCAACGTGCGGCGAGGACTCCCAGCGATCACATGAGTTGTGGAAGAGGAGACTCGATCCTCTATGAAGAAGCTACCCAGCTTACGAACAACAGACAGAACTATATCTTGCTCGCTGAAAGTGTAAAGGAAGGTGACACGTTGGGAATTAGAATATAGCACCTCACTTCAACACTAACTGAGATCTGAGTGATTTAAAAGAATTCAAACGATCACTTACCCAAAGTGCATACTGGTCATTACAATGGAACGCTTTGGCTGCGGACCGAGAAATCAAAACAAGAATGTGACAGAAGCAAGGCACAGAAAAAAAAAGAAATTATATTCAGCTTCACCTTATACGCCTTAACATCTGCGCGATACAACTATTAGAACTGACATTTATATCTACCTGGCCGCGGTTGTTCAAAAGTTGGATAACGCTATCCACTGGATAAATCGCTATCCACAAGATAAGTACACGAAAACTAATTGCGCTATCCGTTGGATAGTGATTTGTCCAGTGGATAGCGCTATCCACCTTTCGATCAACTGGAGCTGTATTGTCTCCCAATCCTGTAAAACTACCCCGTCTGTAGACTACTTTACACTGGTGTAGTGAATGTAGGTATCTAGCCCACCTGCGTTCAAGCAACTTCCGAACTTCAAGTGGTGTGATCGCTTATGGGGCTTTTAAGTTCACTAGCAAAACTTTGCTAGCAAGACTTTTTCAACCAGAGAAACAAGTAATTACCTATGCTTAACAAAAAGGACGTAAACGTGCACAAAAAATAATGACAATAAGTTGTGCACAAAACCCGTAGGTTAGTAGTTATCATGCAGCCTATATTTGTTCTATCGTACTATCGAAGGGTGTGTAATGCATAGCTTTTTAGGCACAAAATTCTTGAAATTTTAACTTCTTCATCAGATTTCATCTGGAGATATGCCTACTGCCAAACGTTGGGTAGAGCATGGTCTTATAACACGCAGCGTCCAAAAACCACCAGCTTTAAGCGAGACTGACACTTTGCGATTGCTATAATTTCGAGCCAATTTGTTCGACGTCATTTAGCTCTATAACTAACCCCCCGTGCAAAACAAGCTTCACCGAGAGATAAATGCTTGCATCTGTGGATTGAAGTAAGTAACTAAGGTTGCGTTCTAACCTTAACTTTTTTCACCAGCTTGTTTCGCTGTTTCTTCCCAGATTTGTTTTCTTTTTCTTCGCCTGGTTGTTCTTCCTCTTCTGTGCCCGTCTCATCATTTTCAACATCTTCACCTTCCGCTAAGCTACCGTTCATTGCCTTTTCTCTATCCTGACCATCTTTTTCTTCTTCGCAGTCATTAACCAGCCTGAGCAAACTTTCCTCACCAACCGGGTTTCCCCCATTAACTAGTTTTTCCTCACTAGCGACTTTCTTCCGAATAACCTGTTTGTCCTGACTGACAAGTTTTTCAGGCTTGAACAATTTTTTCCCATTGCCTTTTTTGGTTCCCTTATTTAAATTCTGTTCCTTTTTCGTTCCAACCGGTTCTATTTTAGCCATATTCTCAACCAGTTTTCGCTCAGAAACGTCCTCCAATTCAGCTTCAGTTACTCCTGTCTGGCCGACAATTTTGCTTGTTTTCGAAAACTTTTTTCGACTGGGCTGCTCGCCATTTGTGATTGAGCCTTTCACATTTCCGTCCACAATGGAGACTCCAGAATCAGAATCTAAATCTTCTCCATCGTTCGCGTGACACTCGACGATCTTTTTCTTTGCTTTTGCTTGTCCTTTCTTCTTTCCTGGAATACTAGCATGTTTTTTACCTTCACTTGTACTTTCTGAGCTGCTTTCCGCTGGTTTTAAACATATCCCTTTAAAAGAAAATTAACGTCGACTCAAAGATAGGAAAAACATTTTCATTCAAGCAGTCCAAAACAATCGGGAACAGAGAGTTCTTGTACACCTTTTGCATCCACTGACCTGTCTAGGGACGGATTCACAAACCTGTGATATCTTGTGTTATAAAACATTACTTAGCTTGAAAAAGGTTTTTCTTCAAGTCATGTCACGATTGTGAAACAATATGTGATACTAGTAATGTCTTAAAATTCATTATTGTTTACTTATCAACAATTACTGAACCTTGCCCTTCAAGGTGGTAATTAGAGTAACATACATGTAACAGTGAACTGATTTTGCTGATGAAACAACCAACACTTACCTGAATTTGGATATAAATTGTGTGCTTTTCCATCCGTTGATTCATTTTTCCGCTCGTTTCTTCCAGTGCTTGCTGTCTTGCTTCTTTTTCCTTTCACATTTTTCGCATCGCATTCAACCTGCTCTCCAAGCTTTGCTTTCTTTCTCTCCTTTGCCCCGCTTACCTTGATACCCTCGCTTTGCGATTCTTTCGTGGAATCTTGCCTCTTTCTTTTCTTTCCTTGATCAGAGCCTGTGATTTCAAGTCAAGGCCATCCCAATTTAATGCTTCGTTTCCCATCGCCCGACCGACCCATTTTTTGGGAAAAGTAAAAAAAAAGAAAAAAATTCCAGAATCACTTGTAAAGAAACAAGTGCTTTACTTTACAAGCACACGATCTTGTCTTATTAACACCAGTTGTCTTAAATTATCATCGATACTTCGTTTTTGTAGCCTTTTTAGACATTTGATAGTCCTGTTAATAGGCAACTTTTACCATCTGATTATATCTTGCAGACTAAACGTGAGATTTAATATGCAATCATGTGTTCATTCTTTTTTTTTTTTTTGCCCGACCGACCGACCCACCTTCACGAGAGGGAGGGCGATGGGAAACGAAACATTTTATTGGGATGGCCCAAGAGAAATCTTAGACTAATGTTGATGTTAGACAATATTGGACTGGGGATCATGAGAACTTCAAAGGCGTTATTTAAGTGACCGGCCAACTGAGTAAAAGTTGTTGTTGTACATTGTACGTACTGTACATTGTACGTACTGTTGTTGTACAGTGTAGTACGCCAGTGGAAGTCGGGTGAGAGAGGGGCATCACCACACCTTTGAGAAACTTTTGGCGATTTGTTTTGTTTACTGGTACAAATCGTCCTTTCTTTAAATATCACATGTTCAACTCAACACGAACTAAATTTTCAATCGAGAGCGTTCACTTGTACACTAATGCTGTAACTGTACTTCACGATTTGGTTTGAGGGTGACGGCAGGCAAAGGAATACTTCAAAGGAAATTTCATCGTGGGGCCTACGGGTATTTCAGTTTCCTCGCTTGTTTCTTGGCTTATTTCTCTTCTTTGCCCTTCTAACGGTTTGAACTAATGGACAAGTTCCATAAAGAATTTTGAAAATATACAGAAAAACTCCTCAACTAATAATATTGTTGAGAAATATAACAACAATGGGCCCTTTTCTAGCCTGCGAAAACATCCGTTTTACCTCGCTCTTCGCCGCTGGGCACGTTTCGCGCCTAGCCCTTTTCGTGAAACTAACCAGCCACTCTGGTGTTTTACTTTATAGAGAGGAACCCACCTATTTGCGGTTGGTTTCTGCCTAGAATACCAATAATGGGCCCTTTGCAGTTAGTAATTCATGTGGTACTAAATCAACAAAAATCATTTAAAATATTTATTTACTTTGTTTGTCCTCTCCCAGTGCATCTCTTTCTATCCAGCACGGGGGTGTTGTATAACGTTAATGACTAACTACAAATGCCCTATTATTTGTATACCATGCAGACACCCAAATTAGGTGGGTTCCTCTTTATAAAGTAAAACACCATACAGTGACTGGCTGGTCTCGTGACCTGAATTTTTATGTGCTTGTGCATGCGTAAGGCAGACAATCTGTTGGCTGTCATAACTGTAACTCTACCAAACATGTCATTCCTGACCTGTCAGAAGAACATCTCTGGGTGTGCATGTTTTTGGTAGTTGCGTAACTGGTGTCATCCTTGGTTGGGTGAGCGTTACACTGGGTGGTCTTGTTGGAGTGCATTTGAGCAACCTTCTTTTTAGTTTACTTATACTTGATGGAATATCATCGCTGCTGTCTGGTGATTCCTCATTCTCTTCTTCACTGAATTTAATTGGTTTAGGCTTTTCGCCACTTTCGTCGACATCTGTTCATGAGAAAAAATTATGGAGATTTTGAGAATGAAAAAGGCAAACAATTACAGGACTAACCAGTGTAAGTGAAATATATTGCATCCAATATTCTTGTTTCCATTTTGCAACTGCATTGATCATGCAGCATTAAATATCTGGGTGGATGGATGTATGGGTTCCCCACTTATTCCCCACTGAGACTAGACAGCACCTACACGTACATGAAGACTGTAGACAACTGTCAGTACTGCAAATGATCCCCAGACCACAAATGATCCCCATTGTCTATCATTTGCAGTCCATTTTCGGGATCATTAATTTTGCAGTACTGAAAACCACTACCTTGACAAGCAACCCTTGCAACCCAGCCATGTGAACCCATACAGACTCATCCAGGTACCTGCCACAATGTTCACAGTGGCAAAAAGGATGGCATTGAGGTTCTGCACAAAGGTGATGACTGGTAGACCAAACGATCCATGGAAAGTAGAAGAAAGCTCTGAGCATTAAATGCTAACACTCTTCTCCTTCTAATCCAAGATCAATAACATACATGTACAGTGCATGCAGTAATCAGTCAGGAAATAAGGGGGAGTAGGTTAGGGAGGAGGAGATAGGCGACAGTTTTTCAAAAAACAGCACATTTTGTCTGCTACAAGACAGTATTTCTAAACCAAGTAATGTGTATGCAACAAACAAACAAACTTGCCATAAGTGAATGCTTTATCAAAAGGAGGTGATGTTCCCAGGTCATGACAGGGTGTGTCTGGTATCATGTGGGGCGTAATAGGAGGGTTGAAGCCAATCTGAAAAGGAAGAAAAAAGAAAAGGAAATGAAATTTTTGTTACAAATTAAGGTTAGCTTTGATCAATACAATCATAATGATTTTAATGAAGAATAATAGTCAAACTTACTGGGCTATGAGGATCTTGTGTTTCTGCAGCAAAGACCATAGCTTTAGAACAAAAAATTAAAAAAAATGAAAAAAAGATAAAATAAGTGAAATGCATATAAGAACAGGTGAACATATTCACACAAGTGGTTAGCGATCTTTTTAACTTGCTCTTTGAATATTTTTTCATTCTTTTAATTGCGTGCATGACAAGAGTACAAAGTGATCTTTTGTAAGATTTCAGAAGTATCAGGTTTTCATGTTCACCATCAGAAATCTAAATAGCCACATGAGTATAAATTGTCATAATTTTTCCCATTTTGAACTTGGCTGGAGCTCTTAACTCTAAACATGACAATAACAATTAAAGATCATTTTTTTCATCCAATACTCCTTGTATTATTTTATTTTAGTTTTGTCCAGTTGATGTTTAATTACATGTATACCTGTGGGAGTGACATTTTCTGCTTGAAGCTTTCTTTTTCTTCTTCTTTCTCCTCTGTCTGTTTACAATGGATTATTTAAAACTAGCTGTTAAAACCATTAAATTGACAGTATACTAGTCTATGTGCAACATGATAAAGATAAAGTCATTTTCAAACTTTGTTTTTGTTTAATATGCATTCAGTGACCTTTGGATTTACTGTTATCCTCTTAAACATGGCTCCTAGTTTTCACCCAACACAAAATTTCACAGAACAAGGCTACACACACCTGCACTGTTCTGTACATCCTCCTCAAAAGCTTTAGGCTGCATGGACTTTGTTCTTTTAAGACGACCAACCATGAGTGGTGTAACAGCTTGTTCAGGAATCACAACAGGGAAGAGGTCTTCTGATACACGCTTACCACTCTGCCGACAGCTCTCCACCCACAGCACAGACACCACATGAATACCTTTCTTTAATGCCCTCTCTCTTGTTGTTTTCTTTCCATCTTTGAATACCTGAAGAAAAGACAGAATTTTAAGATAGAACACTTCAAATATTAAAATTTATATTGTTCGAAATATGTTATATTATTATCATTAGCATCAATTATTATTAAATGGAGAAGGAAAGGTGAACTTCAAAATTGCTCAAATTTGTCAGGGGAAACATGGTCATTAAGGACAAACATCAAAAGTGAAATGTTTAGAAATGACTGTTGCATCTATAGTTGCAGAAGATGAAGCTTAATAATTAATTCTTCTAAAATGACAAAATGATGTTGCAGAATTCAGGCCCAAATTGCAAGTTATAACAAGATCATTATGCCAAACATAAGCTTATATTATTGGAAGTAATTTAGATTTTGAGGAAGGATTACCACAAAAAGGGGAAAGGACGTTGAAAGGAAAAATCTCTTATTTGTGCAGACAATCACACTCTTCTCAACAAACATTGACTACACTGTAGCCTCCACTATTTTGGGCCAAAAGGGAAATCAGTTCTCAAAATGTTATCTACAAATAGCAGATACAAAAATGTCTTGCTGACTTCAGTTTGTAGTTTAAGCTAAGAAAGAGCAAACAAAACCATTTAAACAAACAAACAATAACAACAAAAATAAGCCTAAAAGAGAATGAATTAAGATTTTTCATGGCTAATTCTTACATGGGTGTACAAGGTGGTAAAGCCAGTAATATACACCTACCACATGAGTAACTTCCGGAGTCAACTTCTTCACCACCTAGGCGAGAAATTACTGATCAACACCTCACAATCTCTTTATATTATAAATAGTCTGTAATGAGGTTTGATTGAACCATTTTTAATGCCTGTATGTGTACAGTGTACTTGTAGAAAACAATGCTTACACTACATTCACAAATAGATAAATAAAATTACTGAAATTTAATAACTTCATAAATTTTGTATTACAGCTCTATCAGATATCATTACTTGAAATGTACAGTACAGTCATGTAATGGTCCCATGACGTACATGCATTTCCCAGGAAAACTGGGTTGGATTACCAGAAAAACAAAGAGAGAGGGGAAAGAAGATTTAAGTTTAATCCTTTGTCACAGTACAATGTTTCTGGAAGGCAGAAAAGAGAAAGGGTAATTTTTATCTTGGCTGCTGGACAATTTTAGCAAGGCGAAGCCATGAACAACACTGAAATTTCTTTCATATGTATGTTGTAGTTAATTTTTTTATCTCAGATAATTTTTATTTCCCGTTGTTTTTGGGTATGGTAATGAATGCTACTAAATTTGAATCAAAGGAAAATTAATATAAAAATTAACTAAAATAAAAAAATAACTGCAACATGTACATCTGCATGACACATTCATGATTTTTAATAGGTTATAAATCTTTACCTTTGCTCCAAGCATTTCCATTTGTTTAGAGATTCCTTCAAATCTGTTTTCAGTGTTAGAACGCACCTCAATAAAAGCCACAACCCCTGCATAACAATTTATCAAAAAGCACATTGCCTGACACACTGTATTCAACCTGAGATCAGGCCTAATTTTAGCAACTTTCATACACTCTCTCTAATGTGACTACAGTAAAACTGAGCACCCTTTTCATTTGGCCTTGCCTAGAAGAATTCTATTTAACAAGGAAAATGCAAATACACAAAAACACATGAGGAGCCTGAACTCAGAATAAATTATTAAAACTGTAAAAGCAGATAAAATAATAATTATTATTTTACAATAATGGTACAATTTAATCTCTAAGTGCAGTTTCTATGGTTCATTGGGGGACAATAAGAAAATGATGAATGTTTTCAGAGGGCCAAGAAAATTTACATGGATTGTTTTCCAGAACTGCAAATGCCATGTTTACATGTACATGTTAGCTCCATGCCCATCTTACCCTAGGTGCATGTAAGTACATGTACACTGTAGCCTGCTAAGTTTGACTGTTCCCTTTCACTATTTTTCTGAATACTTTCATAGAAACAAAAGGAAAAAAGATCCAAAAGAACTTCCTACATTGTAGCTGTTCAATTCCCCCCTTACTGCAAATACCTGTGGCCTCTACTTCCTGGCTCAACTGGTCTCACCTTCCCCCACAACCACTGTCCCCCATCTATTGATGAGGAGCTGAAGTGAAGTTTAAGTAATATGATCACCCCCTCTCTACTACATGTATAGTTATGCTGCGTTTAATCTGCAGGTGAAGGTGTGGGTGCAACTGAAGACGCTAAGACTAGGGCTGGGTTCAAGTCACAGGACCTTTAGTCACACCTTCAGCACACCTACAAATTAAGAAAACTGCCCCTCCAGCTTTTATAGGGTCCTTACATTTAAACATGTCTTTTGTAAAGTCACTGGAAAAAAATGTTGTATAGAATTGTAATCAGAATCATCAAAATATAGTAACTGACTTGAAAGTGAGCAACAAAAATACTAGAGTAACAAACTTGAAGAAATATACATACCTTCAAGGACTTTATCTTGTGATACTGGCTGGGTGCAAGGAATGTCAATTTCCTGTGCTGGGCTGCCATCATTTTCGAAAGAACAATGAAAGCCTAAGCTTTCATTTTGGTCATGTGATTTCTCCAGGATACCCAGGTAACTGCCACTTTTTGACAGCGGTGATCCATGGACAGAAAGATTGGCTTTACTTGACACAGCATCCTTCAATATCCCTTTGATGTGACTGCTTTTTGTACCTGCTGCACCATCCAATGGTTTTTCCTTTGTAAAGAATGAAACCCTTACATATGCAGATCTCAGAAAACATCCAAGTACATATACCAGGGATACACATACATGAGGGCAAAGGTAGAGGTGCTATTGATTACACAACAAGCTGAACTAGAATGACTATAATTTATGGGTTGGAACACAGGCATCCCAAGCTCACATTATGAGGGGTGGAATGCAATGTACATTTTGTGACACGAGTAAGTCAGTATTGTGTTACTAAGGTCTGCGGAAGCTAAATATCATCATATTTTACCTTTTGATAAATAAAATGAATTAAGAAGATTAATCTTTGGTGTGTTTAGGTGTGAAATTACTGATGTGGGCAACTCTTTGGCTTGATTGCCTAACTCCTGTTACTCCATTCACAAGACAAATAATGGAGTATCGGGTTATGCAAGGTAAATTACATTCCACCCCTGTAACTAGGGCTGTCACAAAATTTTTAAGTAGCAAGCTGACAATGAATAGTAGGCGGCTTGGGAACTCACACCAAAGGCACAAGTTCTTAAGGGCTGAGGCATCTAGGGACATTTTGAAAATTAGAGTCCCAGAAATGGCGTTTCCAGGGGTTTTCAGGAGGACGCCATGTTGTCTCGTCAGAATACCAGGGCTTCTGATAGGTCGCGGAAAAAAAGTCAAATTTTGCAGAATTTTCAGGGACAAATTCGCGGAAAAATTGGCCAATTTCATGGGAATTTTGGGGGTAAACTTCGCTGACAAACAATCAATAAAATATGGCTGATGTCGTGGGAGTTTTCTGGGCAAATCGCGCTAAAAATTGATCAGTTTTGTGGTAATCTGACCCAGCGCTTTAAACATTTTTTTTTTTTAAACAGAGATAATCATTTTCTCTTTCAACAATACCATTGAGAAATGAGCCAATGGCAAAGCTTTTTATGTCATGGCTAGTGCCCAGATTTTTGCAACATAATCTAGGCCTGGTAGTTTTTGGCATGTTGTTTGCTTATTTCTGTGATGAACTTGCAAGATAAATTTGCAAGTTTACGGCAAGTAAACAGCCCTAATAGCCAAAATAAGTTTCAAATATGGTGTACAGACATGTATTTGAAATGACTGCTAGCACATTTCGCGATATTTTGTGTGTCTTTGTGAATTTCGCGGGGTTTGGTAGCTCTGCGACCGGGCGAAATATCAGAAGCCCGGTAATACATGCAAGACTGGGAACAATGCCATCAAACTGTCCCAGGCATTCCAAGACATCGCACGTTTTGAATGTTTAACAGATCCAAACCTGTTTAAATATGCGTTCAACGTCATTCAAAACTGGGAAACCAATTCTTTACAATTTTTTTCTATGGTGATTATTTTTTGTTAGCAGTTATGGTAGAAGGAGATGAAAGTAGCTGGCTAAGGATGGCTAACTATAGGGTGGTTTTGGCCGGTTACCAGCCCTTACTGACAGCCCTGTGTAATGTGAGCTTGGGACAACTGCGGCTGGAAAAGCTGGTGTGATAAGGTAGTTCTATCTTAAGTCTGTAAATTAAATCTAATTTTGCTTATAACTTGTTAAGCTTATTCTTATTATTCTGTTTCAATTGCAATGAGCCGTTTTGTTGGTACAGTATTGGTAACTGCATCATAATACGGATTGGAATCAGGAAAATTAATCAGAATGTGGTTACCCTTGGGACTGAAAGAAAGAGATCCTAGCCTAATCGGTAAAATTCTTCCCATCCAGACGAATTTATACAACACAGGCTTTATAAGCTTATTTGAAAACTTATGAAAAGAACAACCTTGACTTGTAACAACAATCTAAGTATTAAAATGAGAGCCTCTCCAGGCGCAGATCTAGGATAAATACTGACCGATTTCCTAAACGAGCGCCAAAGGCGCCATCTTTTAGCGGGGTCCGGGGGGTGGCTCCCCCAAGAAATTATTTGGATTTTTACTCCTTAAAGTCCCCTTTCCTGGATTTCCGAGTCATTTAGATGGGATATTGGCCAGATTTCAACTTGCAAAGTGTTTTTATTTTGAAAAATATATTTAATATGAAAAATGTGACCGATTTCCGTAAAACGGTGGAAACCGGTGTGGATCCGCACCTGCTCTCTGTGGGTACTTCCGACGAAATCAAAGTTGCGATGATCGCTATTGACGAAACAATAGCTGGAGATTAAAGCGATTCGCGATCGATTGTTGCATTGACATTCTGATCATGACAGCAAAAAAATGTAGTCAAGAAGTGTAATGCACCTTTGTTTTGCTCACAGAACAGATTAAACCTGTTTGCTTTTTTTTATTTCTTCGTTTCTGTTGTCGTCGTCGGGGTTGCTTGAGCTCGCTGATACATCCTCGGTGACCCAGGGGCAGATAGTGGGGGCAAGGGAAAGTCTAAATGGGCGAAAAAATATGAAAAAAAACAATAAAAAAATATATATTTATATAGTGTCTATACTTTTCAGTGCAAAGAGCTTGAAAATATGGCATGAAGAAAAGAAAAGATCGGCGAGAAGAACCCCTGGGGACAATGTCTTACCAGATAGGTTCCAAACTGTCGCCGTCATTCTGGCTTCTGATTGGTGCCAGAAAACTTTTGTGTTTTTCTGCCCAATCAGAAGGCAGAACGGCGGCGACCGTTTGGAACTGGTCTGCTAAGACATTGTCCCCAGGAGCTCTTCTCACCGATCTTTTCCTTTCTTCGTGCCATATTTTCAAGCGCTTCGCACTGAAAAGTATAGGCGCTACATAAATATATATTTTTTTATTGTTTTTTTTTATATTTTCCCGCCCGTTTAGACTTTCCCTCGCTCCCACTATCTGCCCCTGGGTCTCCGAGGATGTCGCTGATAGTGCTATCATGCAAAACAATTCTTGATATACAAGCGACGATTTCGTTGACAAATCATCGATTTGATGGAAATCGACATCGACCGCAGTACCCATACAGAGGATCAAACGTGTATGTCTCACTTTGTCACGATGAACTACTACATTACCTTAGTTTTCCTGTTCTTTGTGCTCAAGGACTTTCGCTCCATTGCAGAACATTACTAAAATTTATGAACGTTCCAACACGAAGGGAACACACGAAGGTTCAAGAAAGCGCGCCCTTTGCATCTGAGCCTGTACTTTTCGTCAGCGGTAATACGTTAAGCGTGAATATAGGTTATGTATGTAGATCTCTTTCACACCCGACTAAATTCCTGCCTCTTTCCTGCTTTTGAGATGGTAGGGATCAAGGGACTAGTTTCCACAGCTCAAAAGGAGGTAGCGGTGCCCACCAGTTTTAGTGAAAACAAGGTCTGGGTGGGGGTGCTCAGTCTCGTGGGCTCAAAAACCTCCTTTTGAGCTATGGATTCTAGCCATTTCCGTTTAAGATACAGCCGCGCGAAAGCTGGACCGAGGTCTGGAGGCTAAGATTATTCCGTCTCTTCTCTCTGTATTAATTATAACAATAACAATAACAGTAATAATAATAATAATAATGATGATGATGATGATGATGATAATAGAAACCTTTTATTGATAACAAAACTAACTATTAAAACCTATTTACAATTAATTTTCGCTGAAGAAGAAAAAATATTCAGTCAATGAAGTAATGATAATAGTAATAATAATAATATAATAATAATAAGTAATGGTAATAACCAAAGGGAGTACAATTCAGGTAATTGGGAAGATGAATTTTAAATCCTTCAAGCGCTTAAGAGGGCCAGCCATTCAGTTGAAAATTACAAGCACTAATACATCTGAATTGCACGGTAGAAGGCCTAAATGTAATAAACGGTCCTAAATGTAATAA